TGGTGTCCCTCGGGTGTGTCCCAGCAGGCCGGGCAGGTGGCTTCACCTTGCGGCTGGGCTCTCTGGGGACGGAGGCCGAGGTGTCCTGGGGACCTGCCCCCCGACACAGGCTCTTCCCTTGGAAACAAACGCAGAAAATATCCCCCACGCTATCCGAGAAGGGTGTAGAGGGCTCTTACTTTGGGTTTTTTTGTGCGTGGCTGCGAAGTTTTGTTCTCCTCCGCTTCATTTTCCCAGGAGGAGGGGAAATCGCTCACGGGTAAATAAAAGGAAACGAATCCGGCAGTGGATTTTCCATGATTAGGGCTCGGGATAAGCCCCGGCTCCTACACTGCCTTTATTTCTAGTGATTAAATAAGAGGATAATCATTGTATAAGGCAGGAACAAAAACCCAAAGCTTGGGGTTTTCTCCTTGGGCTGACAAGCACAATCCAGGAAAGGGCAAGTCAGAACAAGTGCGGGATGGGCAGCAGGATACAAAGAGGCCTTTTCCGGCGCTGTCAGACGCTCATTTAAGTCACAGTTGTAATCTGTTAAGAGGCTGCTTATCCTAATGTAAATGAATGGTGAAATTTACATTTATCTTTGAATTACATATGTACTCTTTCAGAAACCTGAGCTGGAAGTAGCTGTGAAATGCATTAACAAGAAAAACCTTGCAAAATCTCAAACTCTGCTGGGCAAGGAAATTAAAATACTTAAGGTAAAAGCTTCACTCACTTGGTTTCTTCAGTCTTTGTTCTATGTGCCCTTTGTTCCTCCTGGCTTATGGTCTTTGTTTTACTTTTTCTAGGAATTGAAACATGAAAACATCGTTGCCTTGTATGACTTCCAGGTAAATACATTTATTTATGGCAGGGCATTCTGGATTTGGGAGAAGTTGGATTGAGTTGGTGGAATTTCAGTTTTTAACAGATGTTTTTGTATTCAGATATGTATTCTGGGAGAAGAAAAGTGTTCTGATAAGTTAGGGAGAGCTAAACAAACAGGGCTGTGCAGATCATGTATTGATTGTTGTCTGGAGCACAGAACTTGTCTGCAGTTGGGAGTTGAGTTGGGAGCTCTACTCCTAGGATGTTGTGCAGTGAATTGCAGTGTGAGTTGAATGTCTGTATTGGAAGCTCCTAAGTTCTCAACATGTTAGAAATAAAATTACAGTCATTATTCTTGGCATGCCTACCTTTTATTTTCTTTACTCTGGATACACTCCCTAGGAAAATTTGTTTCCTAAGCAGTGTAAAAATAGTTGTGAGCATGACTTTGTAGCATATGATTGTCTTCAGTTCCTGAGGATTTTCATTTGCATTTTTTGTTGTCCTTGTGGCAATCACTAAGTGTTAAAAATTGCAGAGACATTTTTAGATTACTGTGGTTTCCCACAGTTGCTTTTTCCCTCTGAAGACCTAATCCGAGGGGCTAACACCAAACCACTCTGCAGCTCAGGTTATCCCATCACTTTTTGCTTTCCCCTTAAAGGTTTTAGTTAGAATATTCTGCTGGGTGATGGGGCAAGTTTTCTTTTACATCTTTGACGTCCTTGCAAAGAAGCCTCAGGATGTAAAAGCCGAAAAGATGGAACCTTGTTCCCGGCTGGAGGGGCCGGGGTTGGATGCAGCTTGTGCTGCCCTCGGGTCCGGTGTTTGCGGGTGACTGTGACCGCGGGTTTGCCCAGACCCCCGGGCTGGCTTATCTGGAGCTGCCTTCCCTG